TGAGGTTCAAGCAATTCTCCTGCCTCAGCCTCCCGAGTAGCTGGGATTACAGAGATGCACCACCATGCCCAGCTAATTTTGTATTTTTAGTAGAGACAGGGTTTCTCCATGTTGGTTAGGCTGATCTTGAACTCCTGGCCTCAGGTGATCGCCTGCCTCGGCCTCCCAAAGTGCTGGGATTACAGGCATGAGCCACCTTGCCGGCTGATAAGCACTATTTTAAAAGAAATATAAGAAAGCCGGTTGTGGTGGCATGTACCTGTAATCCCCGCTACTTGGGAGGCTGAGGTTGGAGAATTGTTTGAGTCCAGGAGTTCAAGGCCAGCCTGTCCAACAAAGTGAGACCCTCCCCATCTTTTTAATAAAATAAAAATTAGTCCAGGCAAGGTGGCTCACATCTGTAATCCCAGCACTTTGGGAGGCTGAGGCGGGTGGATCACCTGAGGTCGGGAGTTTGAGACCAGCCTAACCAACATGGAGAAAAACCCTGTCTCTACTAAAAATACAAAGTTAGCCAGGCGTGGTGGTGCATGCCTGCAATCCCAGCTACTCAGGAGGCTGCGGGAGGAGAATTGCTTAAATCTCAGAGGCAGAGGTTGCAGTGAGCTGAGATCATGCCATTGCACTCCAGCCTGGGCAACTAGAGTGAAACTCCATCTCAAAAATAATAATAATAATAATTAATTACTGAGCCGGGCACGGTGGCTCACGCCTGTAATCCCAGCACTTTGGGAGGCCGAGGTGGGTGGATCATGAGGTCAAGAGATCGAGACCATCCTGGTCAACATGAAACGGGTGAAACCCCATCTCTACTAAAAATGCAAAAAATTAGCTGGGCATGGTGGCACGTGACTGTAATCCCAGCTACTCAGGAGGCTGAGGCAGGAGAATTGCCTGAACCCAGGAGGCTGAGGTTGCGGTGAGTCGAGATCGCGCCATTGCACTCCAGCCTGGGTAACAAGAGCGAAACTCTGTCTCAAAAAAAAAAAAAAAAATTAATTACTTAATTTAAAAAATAAAAATTAAATAAATAAATAAGAGCAATGGGGTAGAGAGTTATTTCTGGACCACTCTAAATACAGTAATCAAGGAAGACTCTCTGAGGAAGTCATATTTGAAATCCAAATGTGAATAAAAGAAAAGAGCTGGCTATAGGAAGATTGAGCAGTTTAGGGCAGCAAGCCAGAGGGAGTGAGCAGCAAGTACACTAGCCAAGGGCAGAAAGGAAACGGCCTTGCAAAGCACAGAGAGAAAACATGTGGCTTATGCATCCGGAATAAGGGGAAAAGTCATGTGAGATGAAGTAGAAGAAACAGGGAAATAGGGCAGAGATACATCACATAGGGCCTTGCTGACTGTGGTTCAAAATTTGCTTAGTATTTTAATGAGATGTCATTAGAAGGTCGTATTGAACCCTAGTCATTCATACTTTAGCATGAATTACTGTAACTTGAACTTTTCTCCTATGAATTTTTTTTTTTTTGAAACGGAGTCTCACTCTGTTGCCTGGGCTAGAGTGCAGTGACGTGATCTCGGCTCACTGCAACCTCCGCCTCCTGGGTTCAAGCGATTCTCCTGCCTCAGCCTCCTGAGTAGCTGGGATTACAGGTGCCCGCCACTACGCCCAGCTAATTTTTTGTATTTTTAGTAGAGATGGGGTTTCACCATGTTGGCCAGGCTGGTCTCAAACTCCTGACCTCATGATCCGCCTGTCTCGGCCTCCCAAAGTGCTGGGATTACAGGCATGAGCCACCACGCCCAGCCTTTCCTATGAATTATTTTAGAACAATTGAAATTGACCCTTAGGTGAAAGTGGAGAGAAAGAGGGCAGAGTAATTTTGATATTGCTCTGACTTGCAGGAAGATAATGGACGTGGTCTATTTAGTCTACACAAGTCACCTCAAGCTTTGGAAATTTGCTGCATTAAAGATATTAAGTCAGATCGGGCGTCGTGGTTCACGCCTGTAATCCCAGCACTTTGGGAGGTGGATGAATCACGAGATCAAGAGACGGAGACCATTCTTGCCAACATGGTGAAACCCTGTCTCTACTAAAATATACAAAAGTTACCTGGGTGTGGTGGCACGTGCCTGTCATCCCACCTACTCAGGAGGCTGAGGCAAGAGAATCACCTGAACCCAGGAGACAGAGGCTGCAGTGAGCTGAGATTGCACCACTGCACTCCAGTCTGATGACAGAGTGAGACTGTCTCAAAAAAAAGATACTGAGTTCAGAGAAAGACAGCTGAGTTTGTTTTTTTTGTTGTTGTTTTCAATTGTATTTTCAAACACTTCTGCAGACTATAAAAAAGAAACCAAGGGGTGTGGTAGCATCTGTGTGTGTGTGTATATATATATGTGTAACTGTATGTGCTATGACTTACCCTGAATTCCAGGCAATGTCAATGTCAGCCACTCACCAGATAATGTCTATTGTGTGTCCTGGAAGTCAGCAGTGCTATGTGTAGCTTTTTAACATCAACATCAATCCCTTCTTAAATATTCAAATTTTAAAAAACCGTTTACATTTTAAGATAAAGTTACTTCCCAATGTAAAGGCCTACCTTACTATAGAGAATAAATTGACTTGGGGTTTGAAAATATAAGAAAAATCTATATGGAGCTAATGAATCACATGTTTTTCTTAAAATAAGGTTTATAATTAGAGATCTGATTTTTGTTTATATTTGAGCTCACCTTTTTTCCCAATTCAATAAACGGTTATTGGGCTTTCCTTCACCGCCACCCCTGTCTTCCCTGAGAATTTAAGTTTTCTTGTTTTCTTGCACCAAGTCTGTTTCTACATACTGATCAGAGCATGTTGTTGTCTTTTCAGTTGAATGACATTTGCTGACACCATGATTATACTCAAAAATGAATATGGTTGAAAATTTTAATATTCCGATATATATAAGAATTCTACTCTGAAAAGATGAGATCATTGCTTAATACACCAATTACCTGTGCCTGACTTTGCGTCTTGGTTTAGCTGCCTGACCAAAAGAATGTCAGATCCATTTATGTTGTGTTCTTAGTTGATTGTCAATGACTGTTATTTCTAAAGTGGTGTATGTATAGCTTATTTTTGCAATGAAAGGCTTTAGAGGTTTTCAAATAACTGGCAAAATAATAGTAAATCCTAAGTTTACTTCCATTTGTCTTGTTCAATTAAATTATAACCCCCTTTATGAAGATCTCAGGAAGTATTCTGAAGTTCAAGGTCTTCCCTGGGCCCGAGCAGAAAGAAGCATCAGTTATGGCAGTAGTGCCCTAAAGCTGGTTCATACCAGCTTGCAAGAGTCAGATGTTAGAGTTTCAGGAATTTTGGAAGCCCAAATTAAATTGTGTAACTTACAGTTAGATAAATTATATCAAAAACAAAAGTAATAAATACTTAGAACTCTTCAGTTCCTAGTCATGTTGCTATTCGTGCTCTTGAGGTTTCGTTCTACCATAGCTGTACGGTGCAAATGCTACATGCTGGTGTGGCTACTGCACATCTCTGCCCAGCTCTGTGTGCAGTGGCAACTATGCCACGGTGTGGGTACTGACATAGTATTGAAGCTGAAAGAGGCTTTAATAAAAATAATTTGTATCACATAAAAGATATCATGACAGTAGACAGTAAATTTGTTGGGACAAGGGCAGACTGGGATGCAACCGAACGAGTGATTGTCCAATCATAGTTGAACTGCTGGCTACAGACACAAGAGTTTGGCCAAGATGAACAAAAGCATTCCATGGGAACCAATTCACTATATAGAATTTGCCATCAAGAATACTGTATAGGCCAGCCAAGGTGGCTTACGCCTGTAATCCCAGCACTTTGGGAGGCCGAGGTGGGTGGATCACATGAGGTCAGGAGTTCGACACCAGACTCGCTAACATGGTGAAACCTGTTTTTACTAAAAATACCAACAATTAGCCTGACGTGGTGGCGTGCACCTGTAATCCCAGCTACTCAGGAGGCTGAGGCAGGAGAATCACCTTGAACCTGGGAGGCAGAGGTTGCAGTGAGCCGAGATCGGGCCATTGCACTCCATCTTGGGCAACAAGAGTGAAACTCCGTCTCAAAAAAAAAAGAATACTGTATATTTCATTGTTACTTATAGACTGTGTGCTACATATCCTTCGTATCAGCAAAATTTATAATAAACATATGGACATATATATGCTTACTTCCTCCCTAGAGGGTTTCTTACTCAATGTTGGACCAGACACCACTGGTTATAGAAGAAAGATGAAATTCAATAGGAAACAAACTTAAAGCAGCTTTTCCAGAAAGTCATAAGGAAGAGCAATGTGAACATAATCTGTTAAAGTCAGTGTGTGTTCATGCCGATACCAATTTGATTTATCAGTATTAAAAAGGATTTTGTGTGCAAAATTCTCCAGTTTGAAAGAGAACCAGGACTTCCATCAAATGAAACTGCAGACATTTTTGTTCAGCCTAAAAGAGCATGACTATTGCATAAGATTATATTATTTATTTATAAAAAATGCTCTTTAAATCAAATGATTGTTACCAGGTCTAATTTAGCCTAGTTCAGTATTTTCACCTTTAAATTCACCAAAAAGGTGCATAAATATCAGTCAAGGGTATTAACTTGCTTTATGAACAACTTGACTTACTCAGATAACCCATTCACTCTCTGACTTGCAGGGAGCTGAAAGCTAAACTCATCAAACCAAGAAAAGGCGCTGGCCCAACCACCAGAGAGAAGAAAGTTGCCAGATCACACCATGGTTTTAACCACCTGTTACATATTTCAACACTCATCACATGATCTCTATACACAGCACCAAAGACGCAGTGCTGGTCCCTGGCATCCTATTGTGTGAACTTTTATTGATCTATAATCTAGTATAATTTATACACAGAAATAGTCACTCAGACAGACTGGGCCTGTCCCATTCAAAAACATATTTGATCCCATTTTTAGTGAAAAATTTTCCCAACTGGTTTTAGTGGAGGAAATGAAGTCATCCATGAGACCTAGTTAAGACTAAACATTATTTTATTTTTGAAGTTGATGTTTGTTTCGTTACGTTCTTGCAATGCCAGCAAAAAAAAAGAAAAAGAAAAATCCAGATCTGAAGCATGGGTGTGTTATGAGGAGCCTGGAAAAGGCGATTTGGGTCCATTATATAACTGCCACTTTTTGTTTTTATTCAAGGTGTCATAAAACTGAGTTCTGCAGTGGAAGGTATGTTTTTACAACCACGAAATCAATAATGTTTTGCTTGAAGGTTGCATAGCGTGGCTTGTAGCTAAAAAGCTTCTGTGGCAGTGGTGTTTGACGCCATGTGCAAATTGCCAGCTATTGCCATTGCATCTGTGTTTCCCCTTGTTCTGGTCATTTTATGCTGCAAAGCTCTTGGCCCTCGTCAAATGGCGTTCGCACTGACCTGAGAAGTCGGCCCCAACATGTCTGTTTCTGTCTCCTGATGTGACTGCCCCGAACTGGTGCTCCTCAGAGTGCCTGGGCTCTTCTGTGGCCTGATGTGAGGCTGGACACAGTCTTGTCAGGAACCTTTGCCCTGGGTCCTTCAGCAGAGCCTGGTCTAGAGTGTCCTTTATCCCAACAAAGCAGACATGTTTGCCCAGGAAGTATGTAGCCATGAAGAGTCGTTCAGGCTTCCTGATGAGAAAATGAGATGGTTAAGGCACCTGCCAGTCTCCTTGCGGGTTCCTCCTGGGCAGTGTGACCCACCACCATGAGGCATGGTGAAGATCAGGTTCCTTTACTGTTGTCCCTGTTGACGAGAACAGCAGTTCCCTTCAGTCATGCATTCAAAACGCCAAGAAGGAAGAAGGATTTAAGGAAAGTACAAAAGAGACATTAAAGCAAAGTGTTTTGCTGAGTAACCCCAAGAATATTAAAACGACCTCATTTTCTGAAATGATTAGTTGGTTACTGGTATAAAATTGATCTCCTTAGCCCCATCGGAGTTTCACAATTCAAAAGTCGAGAATGTGTCATTTTCTCCTTTTGTGAGTTTCTGTGTTTGTTTGGGGGGGTATGTGTGTTCTCGTTTATTGGGAGTTTGTCGGTCATGCTTTGGAGGCTTCTTCCTCCTCACTTAATCAGGGGAGGTTGCATGGAAGAGGTGGTGGGCATTCAGGTGAGTTTTCAATTTAAAGGGAGATGTGGCTGGCTTGGTGAATGGGCAATGCATGGAGGTGGGGAGTGGGAAAATCGCACGGGGGGTTGGAGTGCTGAGGCCATTCGTGGGTTGGAGTTTCAAGGTTGGGAGGTGGAAGAGTAGGTCAATTATGGACCCATGGGACTGGCAAATCCAAAGCGAGGGTGCACTATCCCTTTGGTGGATTTAGTACCATCACATTTTACAAAACCAAGTTGAAAAGGCAGTATTTCTGGCATTTGTGGCAGAAAGTATGTTGCTACTGGAAACCAAGGAAAAGGTGCAGGCAGCGGTGTTTCAGGGTGGAGACAAAAAGACCTTCTCACCTCGAGGAGAAAGTGCACATTGCAGGCCTCGGACAGGCCAAGCAGAAATTCAAGTTCCCTTTGCACATCAACATGGAATTTTATTGAAGGACAATCCAAGCTCCTCCCTGCCTAACAAGATATGAGACACAGAAGCAGAATCAAGCAGCACCATGAGAATGACCTTGGCTGCAGAAAACTCCCAGTAGCAATTTGAGCACTGAGTTTCAGTTAATTATCTGTTGAATTACAGATAACAGTTGGTTCACTCTGGGTCGTTTTGACATTTTATCAAGGAATGGCTTTGAAGTCATAGTTTTACATCGCCTGCTTGGCTTGAGCGCAGTATTCCACTTGCAACAAAAGGATAGAGCGACAAAATACAGTTCTCATTTTAAAAGTCAGAAAGTCAAGGGAGCATTACGTAATTTGAAAACTGTTGTTTCGCTAGAAGTTACTAGTGGGTGGCATGGCTTGTCTGCACCCCCAGAACAGGGTTCTGTTTTCTCAAAAAAGATGAGAGTTTGAGGGAAAATGAAGGCAGGAAGCGGAATGCCTGCTTGGGGCTTGTCTGGCAGCCTCTGGCCACCTTCCCCATCACTTGGCCTCCTCTGAGTCCCTGGGGCTCACAGGAAGTTCTCTGGACTGGCTGCAGTACCAGAGGTCAGGCCCACTGCGACTGTTGCTTGAGCATCTTTTGGGTGGCTTATTGTCTGAGGCTTGGGAGCATGCTGTGTGGTAACGGTGTTAGAATATATGTGTGCAGGGCAATTGGGAGTGCGGTTGTTGGGGTAGGGGGCGTGTGTTCCATGCATGCATTCTCCGTGCATCTGATACCTGGAACTCTTACAAGCATGCTAGGTGGCACGTGTGTAAGATACTATCTCTTGATGAGAAATCAAACCTCAGATGGTCAGCCTTGCGACTGCTTAGCTCATGACCGTACTTGCTACTTTCCATCTGCGGAATGAATTCAAGGCAGCTTCGTACAGCTTTTCATATCAAAGAATACGTACATCACTGGAAGAAATCCACTGTCAGAAATGAAAGCTCTTTCCTTTTAAAAAAAAAAAAAAACTCTGCTCTAGATTATCCTAGAACTCTGAAAGTAGTATTAATATTTTAGGCAGATTCTCTTATGCTTTTCAAGGAAAAATAATTGTCAAAGTCCTAAGAGAAAAACAAACCAAGATTCTGTTTGCCACTCCCCACCAAGTGTCTATGGCAGGCAGTTTTGTTTCTTCGTTTCTTTCACACTGCGCAGCTTCATGTCAGCTTTTTAAATCAGCAGAAAGAAAAACCCATTTTATAGCTCATGAATGCTAAGGTTAATGGTGAAATGTCCTTTGAAAGACTTAAAATGATATTTAAACAGAAACATTCATCAATGCTTTGATTATGTTGCAATGAGGAAAAATATGTGAATAGGAAAAAAGTTCAGTTTGAAAGAAACAATTGCCAAGCTTTATCAATAACACTGATGAATTCTCACCTCTGATGTTAGATTGATAATCCCAAACTCTGAGAAAATTGGGGTAAAAGAGAAACATCCTGACAGCAGTTTGGGGGAAGGGGGGAGACAGTTGCACCAATGGCGGGTACTAATGTTAGGGTCTGAGTTTCTGTATCATATTGAGAATTCTACAATAGATCAGGTAACAAATAATGATACCAGGATAAATATTGTGGAGAAGAAGTCTAGTTTGAAGCTTAGCGACAATTTAAGAGTTTGATTTGTCATTCAACGTCAGTTTGAGATTATTCTTTCTTGGTCTGTAAACATCAATATTGTTGTAAGGTGAGGCTAATGGCGAAGATGCATGCAATGGCTGTTTTCACATAGTGTGGGTATGCATTTTTTTTGTAAGGATTGATTAGGGTAATAGTAATAAGTATAAACAGGGGAATTAGGGTTATTAATATGATGGAAGAATACACATTTTGATTTTATTTGGAATTGCACCCATATTTTTGCTTCCTAAAACCAGTGGATGACTTTTATCCTTTAAAAGTTGAGAAAGCCGTGTCGTTGGACATGGAGGCATGAGTTAGCAGTTCTTGCATACTTTCTCTGTAGGTAAGAAGTTGTAGCTTCTATTATTAGATTCACAGTCTAATGTTTTGATTAAACTGTAACTACAGAGTGTGAAACCCATAATGATTTTAGGATCCAAGGATAGTAGCAGAATGGGGTACTAGTAAGAAGGAAAAACAACTCACACCAAGAATTCCACAAGAGTCTTCTAAATACTTCTCTGAATACTTCTTCTAAATACTTATCTTACACTTGTGCCACTGGAGCAGGGAGATAGATGTAGGGGTACATATTTTCACAAGTAGGGCCAAAACATTGGCCTTATCAAGAAGAAATGGGAACACAGGTCATGGAAGAGCTGAGTCACCCCTGAGTCAGAATGCCTCTGATACTCTATAGGCAGCTATTTCTTTCCAGGGAAGGAGGGGCCACCGCAGCCGGAAACTCTTGTTCCAGCCAAAGTGGTGCATTCAGACATGGTGAGTGGGAGTGTTCTAGCAGGCACAAGCCTGGAGGGACAAGATGAGGCAGCCGCGATGGTAGGCTGATGAGTCTTTGCCACTGATAACCAGCATGTGTTCTGCGTTGAGACTTGTCTCTAAGGTGATTTTTTTTTTTTTGAGACGGAGTTTCTTTCTTGTTACCCAGGCTGGAGTGCAATGGCGCGATCTCGGCTCACCGCAACCTCCGCCTCCTGGGTTCAGGCAATTCTCCTGCCTCAGCCTCCTGAGCAGCTGGGATTACAGGCACGCACCACCATGCCCAGCTAATTTTTTGTATTTTTTAGTAGAGATGGGGTTTCACCAGGATGGTCTCAATCTCTTGACCTGGTGATCCACCCGCCTCGGCCTTCCAAAGTGCTGGGATTACAGGCGTGAGCCACCGCGCCCGGCCCAAGGTGATTTGTTTATACCTTGTAGGTGAGACTCCAAAACGCCGAAAGGACATCACATTCTTTTGAAAGCCCATATGAAAAAAAGTGAAAGTTGTCTTCTTTGGAAAAGTTCCATGTCTGTAAATATAGGAACAGATGAGCCTCTCTGAAGAAATCAAATAAATGAGGGCTGGGTGCAGTGGTTCACAGCTGTAATCCCAGCACTTTGGGAGGTCGAGGCAGGAAAATAGCTTGAGGCCAGGTATTAAAAAGTTTGAGATGGGCCTGGGCAATACAGCGAGTTCCCCCCTCTCTACAAAAAATAGTTTTGAAAAGTTAGCCGGCTGTGGTGGCATACACCTATAGTCCTAGCTATTTGGGAATCTGAGGTGGCAGATCAGTTGAGCTCAGGAGTTTGAGGCTGAAGTGAGCTATGAGTACACCACTGCACTCCAGCCTGGTCAACAGAGTGAGACCCTGCCTCTAAAATAAAAAACTTTTAAAGAAATTCTGTTGTTCATAGTACGACAAGCAATATGTCCAAAAACACCCCAAATGGATTTAATGTTTTAAAAGTATTCCTGCTGGGTGTGGTGGCTCATGCCTGCAATCCCAGCACTTTGGGAGGCCAAGGCAGGTGGATCACCTGAGATCAGGAGTTCAATCTCTGCTCGCTGCAACCTCTGCCTCCCAAGTTCAACCGATTCTCCTCCCTCAATCCCCTGAGTAGCTGGGACTACAGACACGGTCTACCGCACCCGGCTAATTTTTGTATTTTTAGTGGAGACAATGGTTCACCTTTTTGGCCAGGCTGGTCTTGAACTCTTGGCCTTGAGCGATCTGCCCATCTCAGCCTCCCAAAGTGCTGGGGTTACAGGCATGAGCCACCTTGCCCAGCCAAGACTTTCTATTTATTTTGAGCAAAGCCATGTCCTCAACGTGTCAGGGTAGATTGTGGTAAATACTTTAATAAACTCATAGCTGATGGACTTACATCAAGAAGTAAATTAAGAATGAAGTTTCAACATTTTTTCTGGAGACGAAGTGGCACGATCTCGGCTCACTGCAACCTCCACCTCCAGGGTTCAAGTGATTCTCCTGCCTCAGCCTCCTGAGTAGCTGGGACTACAGGCACACACCACCACACCCGGCTAATTTTTGTATTTTTCACCATGTTGGTCAGAATGGTCTCCATCTCCTGACCTCATGACCTGCCCACCTCAGCCTCCCAAAGTGCTGGGGTTACAGGCGTGAGCCACCGCGCCTGGCCAATTTCAACATTTTTACTACTAGAAATCAAAATCAATCACATGACTGACAGAAATACGGTAGGGCTGTCTCCCAGAAGGAGGTCCTTCCCTTCTACCAGCGTGGAAGGTGGCAGTGTGTCAGGAATACTAAATGGAATATTATAGAAACTGAGAACAAAACTCGATAAACTTGTTTCCGCAAAGAAACCCAGACATCCTGTTTATAAGAGTAACATGGAGGCTGGAGAGCCACACTAAACAAACGAATGCTCTCTCCTCAGATGTATCTTACAGAC